CCCCCCCAACTCACGTGCCGGCCGATTCATTCTATTTGACGCACTTGGCCGCCCTGTTTACTCTGCAATGTAGTGGAAGTGCGAATTATTCCAATGGTGCTCCAAGCATGTCGCAGCGCGTAGAGCCTATCTTGCATGCAAATGAGACAATGGGAGTAAAGGAGGGGGCGAGAAAGCGGAGAAGCAGGGCACGGATAGGGGTGGCGAGAGACCGGAGCAGCTGGAATGTGATGGGGATGCAGACCTTAAGTTGCTAGTGGGAAACGCGTGTGCGACTTCAAAGGCGGTGAGAAATGTCTCGAAGGAAAAGCCGACAACGTTTACGTTTGCACACCTCAGCCACACCGGAAAAACAAAGGTGTGGTGTTCGACCTTTCCAGGGGTGTTAAACTCGTTTTAGGGGCACTAAAGAGTATATTTTCACTGTTAAAAATTTCTTGGGATTTCCCGAAGATTCACTTTTCACCACTATTAAAAATTCCCAAAGGACTCCGTTCTTAGTTTTTGTGTACTAAAACAGATGTTGAAGATGGAAGTTTTCATTTGTCTATATGTTTCAAAGCTAAACTCGACACGTGAAATCTACAGAGTTCTTTGGGAAATCCCAAAGGACTTTGGCAATACTTTTCACGAGTGCCCCTTCGTGAAATTCCAGGATTTTTTCTAACAGTGTTCAGTTTCTTCAAAATATTTACTATATGAGCAAACCAATCACATTTTGAGATTCATTATCGCATTCCTTGTAAAATTCCGCGTCAAACGAGCCTACAAGTGATAGGGTTCAGATAACCGGTCGGCAAATGAAAGGCAAGTCAAAAAGAACATAAAATGAAATCAATCTATGCCATTTTTGAACAGAATCCCATCATATGTAGGTTCGTTTGACTCGAAATTTTGCGTAGATTACGAAAATAGGTTTTATAATCCAATTTTGTTCCATGGGAGAGACATATTTCGAAAAAAACATAAATTGTAATGCCTTTGGAGCTTTAACGCCTTTTAAAGGTAGGATATCCTTTCTTTATTTTACCGGTGCATACACTGTTAAGTCGTAAGGTACGCGGGGATGTCGTTTAAGGTACAGAGCACACACACCAGCAGGATGGACTTGCTTGACACGCGTGGGCGATGGCGTTCTAGATTCGTGTGTGGAGTGGAGACCGAAAACGGTCAACTCTTGGGTGCAGTTTCCGCATGTTCGGGTTTGGGGTTGATTACAAGATTACTATACGAACATTTTGCTTTTCGGGCATAAAACGACAGTGTCATACCCTTTCAAACAAGGTTCACGCCCAACCTTTTAATTCTCAAGTCAGTTGGATCACTCTTCTATCTCCGGTGGGAAGAACCAAAGGGATGTTTCGAATGGTATACGTACGTTCACTCTAAATAAAAGGGAACAATTGTGTTCTTAAAAATGGGCCATTTTCGTGCATACACCGGCAGATGCAATTTTTATCCCTGAAACTGCACAAATTAATTTAAAACCTTAAACTTAAAAATGTAAAACTTAACTCAATTGTGTGTGTAAAACTATACCTAATTTTCCCACATGCATCCGGGCTGAATGTGCCCAAAAAATATTGCCTTTCGGGGGGGAAAAAAATGTTTCCTTACATTTAGAGTAAACGTCGTTAGTTTGAACGCACTTCGCTCAGCTATATCTTGTGCCTGACTAAAACCGACTAAAACGCACGGGACGGGGCCCAACGTAAATGCGTAATACATTTGTACCATTATTTCGCAAAATTGCGCTACACATACCTGAGCGTTACAGTTCTCACATTTCAAGAAAACCAAACCTCCAGGGATGGTGACCGTTTTCTGGCGGGGCAGATCAGCGCACTCAAAGCTTTCCCGCAACTCGCAGCGGGGAACAAATCAAATCGACCAGGATTGCCAATTTTATGACGGTCATTTGCTGGCGCACAGCGGAAGTCCGACGGGCTACTCTCCTGATCCAGAGGTGCAGCTGAGGCCCAAAGTGATTTGTGAAGGAAAGCAGTGCAGGTGCGCAGCCGGAACGGTGTTTGACTTATCATCTAAACACGGCATGCCACCTAGAGAGTAATTACGTTCCCGCATGTGCTCTCCCAAACAGTTTCCAAATAAAGTGTTACGGTCAGTTTCACCGTGTTGGACCGTATGCACTAGATAAATTTTTGGTTCCCGGCACTGACACTTGTCTAATGCGTCAATTTTGTCCCCGTGGCAAAACGTTTAGTGCTGGCCAATAGAAGATCTGAGGTGTAGCAATAATGGGGTTCAGCACCAGGCTCCAAACACGTCTTGTGCGAAATGCTAAAGGTGCACTTTGTTTGATGCACAAAGTATGGATGATTGAGTAGTTCGAAAGTCACCGCTAGATGACACCACTATCGAAATGCCTGCCTTGTGCCTTGTATCTCACTGAGTGCACTGAGCCTTAATAAGGGGGCAGCCAATAGTGTAGCGCGCCTTAAATAGGGGTGTTTTTCGTTTAATTAATTTTAGAGAACCCATACTAGAGAGGTAGAATAGCGGTTTTCAAGACATGGTGTAGCGCCATTGCGCCATTCTGGTACTGCACCCTTCAATGGTGCTACCCCTCTGCGCCATTTGGCGCACGTTTGGCTGCCTACCCCTCAGGCGCTGGTGCTGGCGCTGTCGCTGGCACCTCGTGTCAGCGGCGCCGCGCCACGGTGCGCGTCACCACTCTAGGTGTACGTTTGGTTGCCTACCTTGCCGGCGCAACTTTCGTCGAAGGGGTAGGGGGGGAGGATGCTGTGGGGTGGCTGGTGCTGCTGCTGCAGCTGCGGCTGCGGCAGCGGCCGTTACAGAGAGGTCGACTCAGGTCATACACACACACACACACAGCCTCCCTCCGTGTGAGCATGAAAATGAAAATGTCAGGAGTGGGATTCGAACCCACGCCCCGCAGAGCAACGCGGGACCAGAGCTTAAATCTGGCGCCTTAGACCACTCGGCCACCCTGACTCATGCCGTCTATCGTAAACGAAGCAGAGTGTGATGTCTCCTGGCGGTGGGTGCCGCCACGGCTCCGATGAGGCGAATATGCAAACGTGTGTTGGATTAACTAGGACGCGCGCAGAGTGTCGTGTCGTTGCCCACCAACGCCCTACTGCGGGTTGTATGGTCAGCAATGTAAGGCTACGGTGTGCCATGCGAACCTGAGAGTGCTCCACCCCCCAATCATGCTGTATATAAATAGGTGTACTTTGGTGGGTAATGGGGAGAATGCTCACGTAGTCACATGCTATAAATCTCTGCTCTGTGATAAGAAGACCAGAGTTGGATGCGATTACGTGATTATTCTTTTTTTTTTTTTTTTTTTTTTTTAATATGCAAAAGTATAAATACAGGTCTTTAATTAATCAGGTGGGGCTGAGTCGAAATGATCGAATATTAACCACGTTCTTATGTGCTGGACGAATACGACAAGTTTCTGCTAACTCGAAAACCATGGCACCGCTAGTCTATATAAAACCAGATTGGAAAAAGTGATGATGCAGCGTGAGGGTGGGGGTGGCCTGATTTATTAAGAAGGAGTCAGCGGTGAAAATATGGTATATAAGTTAGTGGATGGTTGGGTACTTTAGTCAGAGTCTCTCTTTCATTGCGACGCATCGAACGTGTTAAGTGAATACTGTGTTCTCCGTGCAGCTCAGAATGGCGTCAAACTATCCTGGTTTATCAGATCACACTCTGAACTCTGTGGCACACCTCACCAACGAAGAGATTGCCCAAATGTTGTGTTGGAATGTTGATCCGGTGAAAATTACATGCGCTGAACCTCTATCTGGTAAGTAGTTATTTATTGTGTATCGTGACCATGTTGAAAAGGTCTTATCTAACGCGCTCTCTATATTGTGTGTGCAGATGCGGTTGTTGATGTGCCAACTTCACCGGAGCCTAAGGTGCCTAAGGCGAAAAGAAAATGTACTCGGGTTGTTAAGAATCCAATTCTTCCTGCTACTCGAACTACTAAGAATCCGATTTCCTCTGCTGCTAAGAAGAAACGTGTATCTAAAGATAAATCAATGAGTTTGAAAGCCTGTAGAAGTGAGGCTCGTGTAGCAAGTGTATTTAAAAGTATTGGAGATATTTGTGTTAAAATGGCTCAGATTTGTAATGAGTCAACCTCATCCTGAGATGTATAAAATAATAAAGTTTTGTCATTTAAATATTGCATTGATTTGACATATCTATCCTGTGATATCTGGTAGCGGAGAAAAATAACAGTACAACAACGCAAAAGTATACCCATTTTAACTAATGATTTATTTATTTATCAGGTTGATGAGAAACATACATCAAAGGCAGGGCCTTTCATCCCCTTATACAAAAAAAACAAAGGGCACCCTGCTGATGCCATCGTATTCATACCCTCCAACTGTTCATCTGACATTCTTGCCAGACGTGTAGGTAGAACAATGAAAATGGCCTCCCCACCGCCGCCTGGTAACAGTAGTTCTAGCTTTACCTTCGAACCGTACTGTGTAGCGATCCTCTGTGCCAGCCGCACCTCGTAATTCACGTTCAGCATCAAGTCTCGGATACTCGTGAATTCGGGCGCAACGGCTATGCCGTTCAGCGCATCAACAACCGCGTTAAACTGTACGGGGTTTTCCTGTGCCATCTTGATAGCAATCTGAAAAGAAAAGAAAAAAAAAATAATTAAAATAAGTATTGACGTACGAAGTATAGGAGTATTGAGGGGTATAGACGGGGTGGTTGACTTACCTCTCTAAGATTCTCAAAAGTCCAGAACGTAGGATCCACCTTGAAGTTGAAACTACGAGGAGTAGCACGTGTCTGTAAAACAAAACAAGGGGGCGAGGATTAGTTTATATCCAAATGTGTATGCATTTCTTTACTAACAGACGCCTGGTTATGAACGTGCTGACGTTGTGTGATCGCACCGCGTCGCGCTCAACATGACACCGTAGAGCACACCGGTTAGGGGATGTCTCACAAAACAAAAAACAAAGTCGCAACAAGAAACGTTTATCTCACCTTAGTTGAGCAATAGCGCGCACGCTGAGGATGGTGGGAAGCAGGACGGCTTGCAGCGACACGAAGCGAGACCGTACAACCACACCAACACAGATACAACACTGTAAAGACAAATAAAATAGGAACAAATTATTTTCAGAATATCAGAGCACGCATGAAAGAGGGGTTAGGTAAACCATCTCAATCGCGTTGCATGCGAGCCATATGTTCATGAACACATTACAAGAGGTTAGGTGGCACAATGAAGAGCGTAGCTTACCTTAGCGAGAGTGACGAGCAGGGCGGCGAGCGGTGCGGAGCGACACGAACGGGGCTGTGCTGTTCGGCTGACGATGGAGGAGCAAGTGACAGCCCCGGCGTGCCCACCGTATTTATGGGCGGCTTTGCTGGGGTCATTTTGTTTACCCCAGCAGAATAGCGAGGTGGGCTACTGGGGAGCGCTAGGCAGGGCCTTAGCGGCCGGGCAACCCCGCCGCGGGCCCGCGTGACAGTGCGATGTACACGTCTGGGCGTGCACAGCCCGCAACGAGGGTCGCTTAAAGTGAGCCTTACATGTATATATTTGGTTGAACATTTTTACAACGAGAGCATCATTTAACTCACAATCCGATGTAAAGTTTCTTTTGAAATAATTGAACAAGCCGCCTGGGGCGCAGCAAAAGTACACAAAAACACAACAATATTCTCCACACACATCTGACGTGTAACTCTGGATACGCTGTCTGCTATAGCTCAAAAGCCCTCCATTTACAGCGATGAATCTTATAAAATATGGATTAGAAGTATATTCCCCGAGGCTATCGAACAGATGCACACCTTGCACATGTGCAGGTAGGAACATCGCTACCCAGTGTGAGCCACCATAACGGTCGGTATCATGGTTTGCTATAAGTACAGCAGGTCTCGCTAGGGGAGCGAGAGGCAGCCGATTGGCGGCGAAAACCCCAATAAAATACCGCTTAGTACTAGTATTTACACGTAAAATATTTTCTATATCAAATGTATCCATGCTAATAGATTGAAATATTCCTACTACCATCAATCGTTAGGACCGAATCAAACTCGAGCAATACGAGGCAAGTCAGAGATGTATCTAAAGGTTTACTAAAATTTATTTCTAGCCTCGTCGTACCTGCGTTAGGAATGCTTGAATACGGTCCGCCCATCCCGTCAATTGACGTATCGAAGCATGCCAGGAAACACCCGTGTTGATAGGCCTCTGGGGTTATCATATGAGGAGACGGGCGCTTGTCGGCTCCCGTAGCAGAAATCAAACTCTGATAATAGGATTTGAGAAAATTTGGGTGTGTAGAGTGAAAATCCATAGGACCGATTTTATATTCATGAGAATTTACAAAAGCTGAAATGGATGTTGCAGACTTGTGAAGAAAAGTGAAACTATTTTTTTTCCTATTTCCGTTAAAAACTGAATTTTCAATCATAGCCAAACAAATAAAAGACGGGATGGGCCCCGTGCAGACTGAGTTCAAGTGGATGTTACGCCCGCCTGTCGGGGTGGTGAAGCACTTAGTCTCCACCCGCTTGTGGGGAAAATGAGCATTTGCTTGACTGAAGACGCGAGCGTGGGAGAGAAGAAGAGAGGGAGATACAGCTACGTTTTGGAGTTGCAGCGTTGCATCAGTCACATGTAATTTTAGACTTGTAGCGCCATCTGCCTCCCACATATAGAAATTTTCATTCGCAAAGGACAACTTCACCCTGAGGTCAATCCCCTGTGGTATTAAAAGAGGTTGGTTAAAGAGACCGCACCTGAGCTTACCAAACAAATGACAAGGTTTGCCTCCCGATAAAAGGTTTTTCCGGTGTGTAAAACCTTTATTGTTCTCCCCAGCCGTCTCAAAAAATGCAGGACTATCGGGAAAGAACATGGCGGACTGTAAAAACGTATCTGCTGCTTGCTTTGAAAAACTTAGCAGTGTATTAATATAAGAGTAATACCCAAAGTTGTCAATGCGAACGACTAATTTTTCATTGAAATAAATTTCACAAGTTTGAAACAAACTGTACAGTAAGTTTGAAATGCAAGCAACATCTTGCTCTACTATCGGTGCAGCTCCGTCTTCTGAGCGGAGACAAACCTCCATATCTAAAAACGTTTCATCTAGTCGTCTATAACGATCATTAGTCGCACGAGAATGAAATTCGAGCGTAGTCAGAGGGTAGGAAATTACACTGATGGGCTTTAAAAGACTTTTCTCCTGGTGCAATATAGCATTCTGTAAATTTTCTGGTGAAAATATATCAAGTTCACCTGGCATAACGATTGTTGCGGGGGCTGAATCCATGTTTGATTATGAAAAAATGTCCGACGGAAACGTGCTTGTTGCTCCGTGCCCGGTCTGCTTCCGTGGGCGATTGGTCTTCTTCTGTTTTGCAGCTTGAGGCCGCTTCGGTTTTATACCAGATTTTTTCTTCTTTTTTGGAGAAGACTTTTTCTTCTTAGCTTTTTTCGGTTTTGTTTTGCGGGGTCGTTTAACACCGCGACCCGTCAGTGCCACGCGCGCCCGACGTTTCAGGTTACGCCCTGCCTGCGAGAGGCGGGACACAGCTGCATCGCGAACGTACTGGAGCGAGTTTGAACGATCGGGTCGTGTCAAATCATGATATAAACCAAAACCCGCTCCTGCTGCCTCCTCGGCTACAGCACGAACACCCTTAGCAATGAGAGGCGTAGCAAAGCTCGTAATATGGCGTCCGCTAAGTCCACAGCACAGGCCGCCGCGGCCGTTTTGGCGTATGAAACTCGCGCGGTACACCGCCCCTATGTCGGTGGGTTTACCCCCGCCACCGGCACCGAGGCCCGTTTGTCTCGAGAAATGGTCTTGGTACGCCTCCAGCATGTTGATTAATACTAAACACAAACGTAAACGTTACCCGCTTTATATATGATCTAAAACCAAAAAATAAAAAATAAAGTGAAATTATTACTCATTTTTGTTCTTTAATGTCTAAAACAGCTATGGAGGGTTGGACGCCACCGGGGAATGGATACCGCTCACCCGTTTTTGTTCGGAAGGATATTGTTATACTGGATATATTCTGTTTTACAACCGGAAAATAAAAAATAGAGTTGAATTGGTAATGCCCAGAGGGGTTATAGGGAGATAGAACCCGCATCAGACGCGTCGACGAGTCACTTACAACTTGAGGCTGGATGATATCTGTATACATAAAAATCGGAGACAACGAGACGTCAAATTCGGTTCTAGGAGGCAAGTGCAATTCTACTAGACCCGCTTCGTACAACTTTCCGCTATCGCTCGTGCATATAATTTCACTCAGGTGTGAGGAAAAGTGTGCTATTGTATTCTCCTTATAGTAGCCTTTTGAGCTATCACTACACAAATATACGTACATACTTTTGTAAAATAATAAAAATACACAATAAATATGGGGTTTTATAAATCTTGCAAGTCTTTAGCGGAGACCCAAGAATCGAAATCTGAGGAGTAATCTTGCCACCTCACCAAATACTCCAAGCCTACCCCCTTCCGTCTTCTCCGATCCAAAATTCGTTCGATACGGTATGTCGTGTCGGCTGCTGGAGGTGTGACCCGTTGCAGCTCGTGCCCGTAGAACCGTCCTCGCAGGGGCTCGTGTTGTACATCCGTCAGAGTATACATAGGAAATGGGCTGAAATTCACGATGTCTTTTATAATATACACAGGCCTCGAGAATTTTGCGGTAAACCCCTTCTCAGTCAGTTCTTTTGTTAAAGAAATGCGAACGAATTCGCCTGGTGTAAAACTGGGTGGAGTGTGTGTGCGTAAGGGCTTGGCAGCAGCGCCGCGCCGTCGTCGCGAGTGCCGAGCGCTGGTAGGCACGGTGGCAGGCGCAGTCTCCCACCCGCTCAACAGCTGTGGGGCGGTGTGGCTCAAGTATATTTTGGACCAAATTTTAAAGACATCCTTTTGGGTTACATCAGCAGGACGCATCCCAGTCGTACGATGAATTCTGTGGTTGTAATTGAATACAATTTGTGGGAGGGCTTCCAGCCAACGCCAACTGTTTGTGTGCTCAAAGTACTTCCAAAGTGGGGTCTTTAATGATCTGTTTACAATTTCAACCATCGCTGCCTTGCCGCGGTTCTCGAGTGTGCGAAACTGTATGCCGTATTTGTTGAATACAGCTGCTAATTGTCTGTTTACGAATTCTTTTCCCTTGTCACTTTGAATAAGACGAACTGGACGTGCAGACGTAAAATGCCTGTCTAACACGCCCGCCACCTCTTTAGCCGTTTTAGTTTTGAGAGGGAATGCCCACACATAGCGACTAAGACAGCAGACCATTGTTAGAATGTAGTTATAACCATCATTATATTCAGCCAGTTTACGCATATCGTTAAGATCGATTTCATATACATCATATAGTCCTTTAATATTATAAAAATTAAGCGGGAATTTTTTCCGAGCAGGCTTGTAACGTGTGTAGACTTCTTGACTCGATAACCACTCGAAAGTCTCAGCGGGGGTGATACCGTGCATCTGCGCTGCTCTTTTAACATCTTCACGAGAGGCAAACGCGGTAGGGTTGTTTAAATCGAAATAAATTTTTTGTAGCTCCCCGTCTACAAATCGTCGTCGTCGTCTCTGCTCGTCGTCTTGGGTTGCGGGCTGCTGACTCTGCGGGGCGAGGTCCCCAGTGCTGGCCGGTGAGGCGGGGAGCGGGTCGCGCGAGCCGTCGTGGCCCGCCGTGGCACTGCCTGTGTGCTTACCGCGTGGTTTTCGTCGTCCACCCCCTCGCTGGTCGGCTTCGCACAGAGTGTCGAGTGATAACCAACGCATGTTGGCAGCGGCAGGTGTTCAGCGTCGACGGCCCCACCGCCCCCTTCTCAATCACCCCTTTTCTTTCGACGGTTTGGGAGTAATTGAACCGGTGACCACACGACATCACGTCCAAAGCGTAACTGCCGTACATGTGGGTGCTGTGCTACACCGCCAGACGCCGTCTCACCGACATCTTCTGGCGAGAGCGACGCGGCCGCCTCACCCCTCATCGTCGCGTGTAGGCGACCGGCGGCGGCCGCGGGGCTGTTGTATGGAGTCGAGTAAGCACTTGGCGGCGCCGCCCGCTCGGAGACGTTACCGCGGTCCGGTGATAGTGCTGACGATGACAGCCCCGCGGCGTGGCGTTGCAGCAATGTCGACAGAGGCAGGCTCGAGTCGTTGACCAGACTACCACAGCGTTGACTAATTTCGTCCAACATGCCTTCAAGTGAGAGGCTCGAAGAGGGGTTGCGCCATCCACACTCGTCGACCCCAGCGTCAGCAACTTCATCGAAAGCGTCAGGCGGGCGCGGTTCCGACGACGAGTTTGGAGGCGACAAGAGCGGCAAGGCGCGAGGAATCGCGTCTTCATCATAATTCACTTCAGGGGTCATGCGGTGTGCAAAGACGGGCGCGCCTCGTATGTAGCGCTTACCCCGCTCCTCTACATCGTAATGCTGCTGGTGGTGGTGGTGGCCTTGTTCGTCTCCCTCTCGCTTCACCTCGTGCTCGCTCTTTCGTTTGCGTCCGGCAGCGACAGTGGCAGCGGCAGGGGCAGCGGCTGCAGCAGCGGCAGCGGCTGCAGCAGCAGCAGCGGTTGGGGAGGCGGACGGAGGGACCCCCGCCACCAAGGGCTCGCTCTTGACAGAAACACGCTCACCCTTTACTCTCTGCGGCTCGAACGCATCTGCTCCCGTCGCATCGCCTACTTCGTAAATAGGCAGTCGCACGCTCGTTTCTCTCTCGTCACGTTTCAAATCCAGAAATTTCTGCAGCAAAACGCGATACTTATCCCAGTCGTTATGCGTCTCCTCCGTCGAGGCGGCACCAGACCGATTCGATACTTTCAAAGTATTCTGCATTTTTTCCCGTATATCTTTTTCCGTTTCTTTGAGAGTCTCCCGTTTCATACGATCAAGTTGCTCCGGCGATATTATCAACATTTTCCTCAAAACTGAAGAGCCGCTGGTGCCACCGGTTTTAGTCATTTTTTAGGTTATGAACACTATTTTGCAGGCACAACAGCTCGACTTATCGCACGTCCCACGATGCCTCCGAGAGCCGAAGTGATTAGGGCGGTGAGGAAAGGACCACTGCCTTTCTGCACCAAGTAGCGTCGCTTTACTTTCCAATAGCCTTCTGTCGCTGAGGGGGCCTTCTTCTTCTTTCGCACAGCCCCGTTACCGCGTACTCCGCGTCCGACCTGTCGAGGGGGCGCGCGCTCTTTCACATACGCTAAATTACGCAACACGTTTTTATACTTTTCTAGAGCACCGCGAGACTTTTCATCGATTGCAAGATTCCCCATTAAAATGTTTAGCGCAATCTCGCAGATACTTAACACCAAATCCTGATCGGCATTTTTAAGTATCGATTTCTGTAGAGATGGTGGGCTGTCACGCAACACATGTAGGTGGTGCCGACAACGAGCGAGTTTCTCTAGTGAATTATTTTCCGTCATTGTGTGAAAATATTACCCCCGAGTTGATTTACCACAAGCACGCCTCTATCGTCGCCGCCGCTCGCATGCCCGTTCTGCCCCTGCTGACTCAAAAGTTCTTGCACCGCTCGGTCCGATGTATACACCGTCAAATGCGGATCGTCGGGGAATATGGTTGAAACAAATCGTAGACTTTCATTCGAATTTACATCTAAGTCCAGAATTAAATATCCAAATTGCTTCGACCATGCGTCTTGCAGAGCGTTACATAATGAACGTGTGTCCTCGGGGTACACCTGTTTCGCTAAATTCATGAACTGTGCCTTATCGCGAATAGAGCGTAATAAGACGAAATACCGGGTCGACAAACTTATTGATCTAGCGTGTTTGCTCTGGTGAAATAGATTCTGAGACAAAATAAACACAGATATACGCCGATGTCGGGAACCCTTTGTAAACAATTCAGATATTGTCAAATCGTTGAAAGCGAAATTCATCAGATCATCCAGTATCAAACAAGTGTCCGCTCTCAGTACGTCGGAATCCTCTGCTGGCACGCCACGGTGCACCTGAATGGCGGGGTTCTTCAGTACGTTTTCAGGTAGAGCATTTTCCTCGCCGAAACACCAGACGATATGAGATATCTGCCCGTCGACCAGATCTGGAAGGTGTTGTAAAAACCGTAAGATGAAAGAAGTTTTCCCAGTTCCCGGCGCAGACGCCACGAAACAGGTAAAAGGATGACGCATCCGCCACATGTCGATTTTACCGTAGAAGCAGAACTGACCCTCAGCACACACCGCATACGCCTTATATACTCTTTGCATGAGCATGACCCACCCTCCCCCTCTGTGCGTGCACTCATCTTTGCTTACGGGTATGCAAGTGTGAACGCGCTTGTGAACAGGCAGCGCGCGCGCGCGCGCTCGCCTGGGAATAGACGGCCCGCGCGGCCGCCGCGCGGCGCTCGCCCACGGGGGGGGGGGCGTGGCGGGGAAGCGGGCTCGTAGCGGGAACGCGCGTCTCGCCCGGCGTGTTGACAACGCATCACATGTCACGCGGCCACACGCTGACAGGGTTTGAAATTATAACACCAGATAGCAGCAGCTCTCGGGAGTCGTATCGGTATCTGCTGAACTGAACTCTATGCACTGCCCACAGAGCGCAGCACCTCCTGGAGGCACACCGGCTACTTTGACAAGTCAGGAGGGTAATGAAGGGAAATACATATTTTAACATAGTTCTATTTATTGTTATTAGCAATCAATTTAGTATACATATTTACAAATATTTTTATTACATCTATTTACAAGCACAGTTCTTCTTGCAATAAAACCAGCTCTCTAAGGTTCCTCTCACCTTCATCATAATCTTCATCAATACTAGAATCCATATCATCATCTTTTTCTTCCTCATTTAAACATTTAATTTTGTAATGTCCGTGAGCCAACGTCACAAAATTGTCGACCAGAAATCTCTTATCATCATAACAACTGAGCCCTTTCTTAATACAATATGATGTAAACAGATTATGCCTACGGTCTGTACCAATTTTTTTGAAAGTCACATTTTTCTCCTTAAACTGGGTGATACATTTCTTATAATCTTCAAAAGTAAGTTGAGACTTCAAAGCCTCACGGGGAATACCCTTTCCCACCGACTTTTCCTGCTGTGAAACTGTCTTAAAACTATACATTTTTGCCCTGAGGCCGACAAATGCCTGAATGGGCTCAGAGTTTAGTTCATCTTTGAACTTACCCATAACTTTCTTATTTTCTAAACTGTACAGAGGATGATTTTTAGGATAATCTGAAGTGTCAAAAAACTCCCTCATTTCACTCATATCCGCGTAAACATCTTCAGTATAAATTTTTACGATTAATGAATCAGTATCTCCGGCACACATCGTGATATTTTCACCGTAACGTGCTTTCAACACATTGTAGTAAAAATCATACATAATTTTTTTGCTGATGTCAAGACACACCTGTCCTACAAAAAGAGGGCGGTTTAAAACAACTTTAGCCTTTTTACGTTCAACACACACAAGGTCATGGTTGAACACTTCAAAACTGTGATACAGAGGGCTGCGAACGAGTTTTCTAAATTTCTCTCGCTGTTTTGTAAGCACAACATTGCGGTGTT